TCAAAGGGGAGAGAAGGGTAACGGCGGCCTGCTAGTTCATCAAAAGGAGTAATGGAGCACCTGAATGTGAGAACCACTGGACTAATGGTATTATTGGCTCGTAAGCAATGAATAATCACATTTTCACTTTGTTATCTTAGCAAAGGAAAGATTCAAAATCAAATTCGAACCTCCTGTAGTGTTCAGATTGTGTTTGATATGCGATAGCTTGATGCATTTGCGTCAGATAAATGAAACGATTCAGAAAGGTTGATGAATTTCGAGCGAAATCACATTCGTGCATATTATTCACATTGTAATCAGAAGAGCATTCCGTTGGAATCTGTGAATGTTAACGAATAACCTCACAGTCACTTCAACAATCCAAAGACCATTCGAAGAAATATGTTTTGAATGTTCGTTCGCCAGTGTTCAACTCATCCCGAAATAGAAGATCACCAGCAACAGTGGTGTTATAATCGTCTTGTTACGATTGTTACTGTTGATTTATGAGTTCCGTGTGCACTCATATCTTTTTTATCAGTTAACAAATTTCTTGAACGATTAAAATATTTACTTCAGATCATATCATCATCCAACATTGTGTTTGCTGTCTCTGTGACGGACCACATTTGATAGTGTATCATATAGTAATCAATTGGAAAGTCATATTGTCATAATTATTGTATTGTTAAACTATATTCACGCTTCCACTTGCATTTGACAATAAACTCTATATCAAACTCTCAGTCGCATATCCACCGACAATCATTATTTTTACTTTACACTATCGCTATTGGAAAATTTAAAGTTATTGATGAGTAAGTTGAGAAGTTTAAATGGCATATTACCCGAAAATGCGAGAATATCATAGTGATCAGTGAGAACAATCCGCCGGGGTGATGCTGTCTGTGCACCAATGATTCACTTGTATACGACAGCTGCGATTCATTCAAATACCTCATCAGAGTCTCTCTGTAAAATTAATTTACAAAATCACCATTGCTTTCAGCAAAATGATGAAACTAAAAAAACTGCAATTTTACGATCAGAAAATCTCATAGTTAGTAATAACGTGGAAATCCATAATCCCATTTTTAAAATCGCCGGAGCACATNCAGAGTCTCTCTGTAATTTACAAAATCACCATTGCTTTCAGCAAAATGATTAAACTAAAAAAAAACTGCAATTTTACGATCAGAAAATCTCATAGTTAGTAATAACGTGGAAATCCATAATCCCATTTTTAAAATCGCCGGAGCACATAATTTTCTTTCATTTTTTTTGGAGATGGTTTATTGAGAGGGAGACTGGGATTGCATTTTAAAAAATGGAATGTGCATGACGATGTCTGATAGTGAATCAAATCTGAACACCAACATCATCGGCATCGACTGAACACCGTATTCAGATGCACATCTCGGTATCAAATAGACGTGATCTTTCCACAGATCAACAATTTCATTGTAAAAATGTATATCACCATATCGCGCTGAATTTGGCTCCATTGCTACACCGCCTTCTCTTAATTAGTTTAATAATAATTTGAGAATACACAATATGATTTCATCACGATTCAGAAAATTATGTGATCGCATAACCAATATACAACGCTAACTTTTCTGTTTCTACGCCATTCGATGGACTCGACAGAATGAATGGTCTGGACGAGTCCAATTCTAGTACCAAAGGCTGAATTGTATCCACATATAACTTTTTATAGTCTGCGATCTAAACAAGAGAACAATTTCGAAGTTGTGTCATTTGAATGTACAAAAATGATTTATTTTTGTGACGGTAGGCGGCTTTACTCACCGGATCTGATATGACGATAAAATGACAAATAATGATTAAAATCAAAAGTAAGATCCAGTTCGAACCATGTCCTTTAAATGATAGTTATCAACAATCCACCACTTATCACGAATCGCCAACTCGTTCTCATTATTACCCGACCACAGCAATATTGATGGATGATGACGCAATCTGCGAATCTGAATGATCATTATAAAAAATTATTTTATAATAATAAGTATTATTACAAAAGTAATTATTATTAGATGATAACACTTATTATCTCGTCTGTCGAGCAATAATACAATAAACGAGATATATGGGAAGGTACATGGAATTCAAATCAGATTACCTGTGTTCTGATTNTAAAAAATTATTTTATAATAAGTATTATTATAAAAGTAATTATTAATAGATGATAACACTTATTATCTCGTCTGTCGAGCAATAATACAATAAACGAGATTTATAGGAAGGTACATGGAATTCAAGTTAGATTACCTGTGTTCTGATTTCTTTTCGTACGTTGATGCGAAAATGCTCATCGACTGGATACAGAGCACATGCAAACATCAAATCATGCCATATAAGAATCCCCTTAAACGATTCTAAATTCTGCCAAGAAACAAATCAATCTCAATAATGAAATTCATAAAATATAGATTTGATTGCTATCCCAAAGCCCTCAGTCAGTCGATCAATTTACAATTGAGTTGTAAAACACATAGATGACAACGCGAGATTCACTGATTTGTTGAGAATGCGATTTAGTAACCATATCTTCCCAAATCAGATTTACCGAATGTTGTTCATCGTTACGATCAGCCTATACAAGCCAAATCATGGAATAATGATTCAATTGAAATGAAACGTTTTGAGTTGATGTGACCAGGAATAGAATCTTAAATCTTTTCTTATGAAAATGTCTTTGTGCACTTGTTTTTCTGTGATGAAACAGGTTTCGTTAACCATCATAGTAAGATATCGAGTGTTCCAAGATAAATTCCCAGGAAATTGGCATATAACGGATAAAACCAAACCAACTGATCAGCACTTTNTATGAAAATGTCGTTGTGCGCTTGTTTTCAGTGATGAAGCAGGTTTCGTTAACCATCATAGTAATATATCGAGTGTTTCAAGATAAATTCCCAGGAAATTGGCATATAACGGATAAAACCAAACCAACTGATCAGCACTTTCGTAAAACTGATCGCTCTCATAACGACCGCCACCCCAAACTCGTAGTGTATTCATATTCGCCTCAACCACCGATTTCAATAGGAAATCAATTCTCTCCGTATGATTTCGTGCAGGAAACGATGAAACCGGTATCCAGTTAGATCCTGTGAATGAATGCTCAAATTACTTTATCAATGCCTTCATCAAAAAACATTACTACGAGAAATTTAAAGTCTCTTTTTTTCAGCCGTAAACAAATGCAACTAATTACGATCACTATGCCTTGGTGTGGACTGCAATAATGCATTCCAAATCCGACAGAGAACAACGAACCCTTCAAGAAAATTGCGACGTTGTTGATTTTGAAGAAGAAATTACGTCCTTTGTTTGGGTGTTCAGCATCAACCAAATCTTGCACTAGCTCAATGCTACGGAATCCAATCTTTATTGGTTTTGCGTTAATGATCTCATCTAAATCACCACAATAATCTTTTATTTGCATCACAATCGGAAATTCACTTGTCCAAGATATGACGAAACTACCGTTGCGTTGAATGTTTGCATTCAACAAATAAAGACGTTGCGTTCCGTAGCCATTTGGCCACCACAACTGCACTGAACTCTTTGGTACGACCAGGTTTACGGTGAACTGATTGTGTCGCATCTTGTTTAGCTTTTCAACGAATGAGACCCAAAGTGATAGTTCAGGAATGGATACCGAACCATGCACACGCTCATCCGTGATAGCGCTGTACAAATACAATTCAATCCGAACCAAAAACCTATCTGAAAAGGGTCTGCTTGAGAACATTTCATAAGATTTTCATTGAATTGAGCTCATAGCTTGCACGTTTCATTTTCAAAGCATCATCAATATGTTCAGATTTCAGCAGTACGTTAGTGACACACTATGCTTGCCGGATATAATAATAAGAATCTATCTGTTAGAAAATTCTTTCATGAACAACGTCACTTAGAAGTACCAGTTAAACAGATGTTCGTCTTTTCATTGGTGGAGATTTATAAGGATCAAATGCATTTAGTCAAAGTAGAACATTTATATACGACCGTATTGGATCATGAAACTTGACAATTGATATTTAGCAAGGTTATAA